CATAATAACTACGTACAACAAACCCGTTATTTAAAGTGATCAGCCTATATAAGACAGGTCTGATGCACGACTTTAACGTCAGGATAATTTAAGGTCTTTTATTTTATATTGATGCTTATTTCTTATCCATTATTGAGAAAGGATCAGAAATAGCTGATAGAAACTGATGTACGTGATGACAAATGAATGACATCCTTTGAATTTTGAAAAGCTTAGTTATGAGATTCATGAGTGAAAATAATATGAATAATGAATTTCAGTTGCCTTTACATTATCAAGACTGTTTGTCCCCCATGAATAGTGAGTTCATAAACCATGCGCATGGAATTACATGGACCTGGATTCCATCCCAGCTCTGCATTTCTCCCTCAGCAACCAGGAAAAAGTAGACTGAGCTCAGTGCTTCTCAGTTACTTCATCTGTAAAATAAAACCAGGGGCAGTTGTCAGGAGGATTAATGAGACAATAAATGTAAAGTATTTGTCACAGAAGCTGATGCACTCTGAGCATGGCCTCTGCTGGCTGTTAATACTATCTCGTAACTTAGAATGAATACAGCCAAGGTAGCCTCTGAAGGAGGGGTTTGAAATTTCGGTGGTCAAAAAATGGTTATTGATCGTGATTCAACTGTGTTGAACATACTGAACATACTAGGAGAGATTGGTTATTCATGTATTCACAGACATATAAAACCCACCTCTAAACAAGATCATGATGAATGCAGCAGGAATGCAAGGAGAAGGGCGAGTATCACTAAAACATTTTTACAGCTGTTTGAGTGTATGTCCCTCCCCTGACCCACCCCAGCTTCTGTAAGAAAACTTTTACTTCTGTATCATTCCTCACTTCAACCTGTGCAAGGATTTCAGTATGGGAAATAACTAATGGTCACAGCCAATGATTAATTGCTCAATGGACAAGTGGGGCCAAAGAATTTTTTTTACATTGTGTCCTAAAATTACAAATTCTTTTCCCCACTGATAGGCAGAAAGACAAGGTCATAAGGACAGAGTTCTTTTTTTTTTTTAATCAACAAATTGAATTTCTGATTGGCTCAATGACCATTCAAAATTAGGTCTCTAATTCCAAGCCCCGTTGTTCTGCTGTTTCAGGAAAAACTGATAAGAAAAGAGTTATACCAGACCTCTTTGTGGAATTAAGTCAATTGTAGATTTTCCCACATGATTGACTCCTTTCATTAAGGATCCAAATGCTTTATGAGGTAGCAAAGGCTGAGATTCTAAGAGAGTAATCAGAGAGAGAAATTTTTCAGACTGTAAGAGTACTCAGGTATCTAGAAAATCTCCGAAGTCACGTATATATGTGTATGACTTGTATGTGTGTGCCCATGTGTATGTGTGTATACGTGACTTCAGCATGGTTTGCTAACATGACTTCAGATTATTTATCATTCAATTACTTTTAAAAGTGTTGAGTACCTACTATGTGCCAGATACTGGTCTAGGGGTAATATATACAATGATGAAAGGTCTGGTTCCTATCTTCATGGAGCTCAGACTTGTGGAATGGTTACATAAGCAGGTATTCTCCTGGCCGAGCTTGGTGCCCTTCCTCACACTTGGTTAACCTGCGCAGTATACTTGTTGCGTTGCGATTGCATCTTGTCTCCTCCCTTGGAGGCTCTGCTCTTCCAGGGCAAAGCCCACGCCATGTTCACCATTATATCCCCAGCCTGGGCTTGATGTCTAACTCACACTGACTGCCCGATAATCTTTGCTGAATTTTATGTTTGTCCTTGCAACACGACCTGGGCTAAATTCCTCACTTTGTGAAATGACTAGGACTAGAACAGTTTGATACAGGTCAATGAATTAATTCCTTTCTTTTTTTCTGAATGAAAAAGCACCCCACAGAAAGTAGCTTATGAGCCATCCCATTAGGTGTGGTCAGGTGTCAGAAGTTTCTTTTTTTTATCCACAGGTACCTTCTGGATACCTCCACATGGTCCCAGTGCCTTGAACCCAAGCATGTTGTAGAATGGAATGTCTCTCTGTTTTCTATCCTCTTGGCCCTCGGCGGAATTGAATTCATCTTGTGTCTCATTCAAGTAATAAATGGAATGATGGGAGGAATATGTGGCTATTGCTGTTCGCGCCAGCAGGTAAGAACCTGTGTGAAAATGTCACCGCTTGGCCCTGGGGTATTCAATGACTATAATACACCGTTGTTTTCATCATAGAGAAAAAAAGGGCAAAATTAAACACTGCTCAACCTACCAGGATTTGTTCCTATACCCTCTTTGTGGCAAAGCATGTACAGCATTCGGTTTTGCTCTTGGTAGTAAGCTTCCTTGAGTGTCATAGTCCCTGGGTTATCTTGTTTTTTTGTAGTTGGCTCTGTGTATATAAGGAAAATGCTGTCCTGTCCATAGACAAAGTGTCCCTTCAAGAGCAAACTCCCTGCCCCTTTCACTGGCCCTGCTCTGGCCAAAGAGACACGACTTTGCTTGCTCTCATGTTCCCAACTAGTGTACACAAATAGTAGCCAACGTTCATTGCACTAGGCACTGAGCTACACCGACATTTCAGATGAGACCATGAGTCAGGGATTAAGCAATATGTCTAAGATCACCTAGTCAGGAGCTAGCAGGCTTCAGACGCTGGGTCATCTTATGCCACAGCTCCTGCTCTCAACCTGTACACAATACTTGCTGTTCTGTTGCATTTTTTTTACAATTCCTTCCTAAAAGGGAGTCCCCCAAATACCCAACAGCTAAGCACAGAGAATCGCTGGTAACCTTTGAATAGCAGCTTGTGAAAAGGCTTTCACGGTGAAAGAAAACCAGGAAGCACTTGTTTCCTGGAGATATGATTTCAGAGAGAGGTATGCATTTGTTAGTAGCAGGGAAAGTTCTTGTTTCTATATCCTCCTAGAAAAAAAACCCATGTATTAATGAATTGATGGAAGTCCCGCAGCTTTGGTCCAATTTTGGAGGGTTTGTTTTATGCATTATTCTGTAAAACAGGATTAGGTAAACAGAAACTTAATTTCTGTTTACCTAATCATTTGCTCCTTTGGTTCAATCAAGGTCTCTTTCTTTTAAAATATGACAAAACCTAATGAAAACTGAAAGCCCACTGCTACCATGAAAAACCTTGCTGTAAATAAATGGAAACTTTCTAAAATTTTTGAGGGGAAGTTAAAATAAAAATCTGGTTTCCCTTATTAGGCAAGTACAGCAAGATTAATAATTTCCTTTGGGAGCCTGCCAAATTTCCAAGAAAACAACACAGTGGAAAACTTTCAATGTGGACTTGTGTCCGGGCAGTATGGTTGGGGAGAGACAGAGAAGAATCCTCTCTGAATTACTCTAATGTAACCTATCTTTAGCCTTGAATTTTGTACAAGGCAGAGTTTAAATTAGGTGAGGCCCTGCTGGACATCAGCCCTTGTGCATTTGGGGAAGAGGCAGAGTGGTTTGGAAGAGTGACTCTCCTCCCTGAGCGTGGGAGGGGGGCATGGGGTGGAGGGGAAATAGTCCCACAGGGTTTCCCATCTGAGTCACAGTAGGGATGGCTTCTTCCCAGACACGCCAGTGCAGATCTGCTAACTTTATTCCTCAGACAAAAGACACTTTCAAAGGGCAAGGTTTTTAGTGTAGATGAGTCAAGTCTGTAACTTGGTAGCATTGAATTGGGAAAGTTACCCACATTGAGCCCACTCCCGGGTGAAACTCCCATGGCATTATCTCTAAAATCCTTAAGATTAAAAACCTACCCCAAACACATTCAGAGCAAACCCAACACTGGTAAGCTGCGTTTTCATGGCCCTTTCCTGCAGCTTTTCCTCAGAGAGGACAATGGCTGTCCTTTTGTTTAGGAAACATTTCATGAGCATTGTCTGAGCTCTCAGCTGAAGCTGACATCAGCCTGCTTTAGGTCTGCTTCAGACAGGAACTTTTAGGACGAAAATGGCATTGTTGTTTGTTTAGCCTGATTGTAACCTAATGCCGATCTCATTTTCTTTACAGCGATATGACTGCTAAAAGAACCACCCCAAGACAGAACCACAACCTTCCTCTATTTCATTGTAATTTATATATTTGACTTGTATTAATTTGTAAAACTTTGTACCACTGTATCATACTCTACATATTCTACTTTTATAAATGTGTATAAAGACTGGCATCTTCATGTGATGTCAGTGTTTGAGCGTAACAAACAAACCTTTTTTTTTAGGACTGAGAAAATAAATGAGGTAATTTATCGACTGAATGACGGCTGGTCCTCAGCGTAGCTGAGATAAACCCTGGCCTGAGTAATGTTTTTGAGAAGCGTTATAAGGATAAATATTGCATTCCCATTTCTATTATATGTGCATGGGTTTATTAAATGGAAGATGTCTAGTTGCTTTTTTTTTTTAAGACCATGAAGGAAAAAAAATCTAACAACTTGAAAAGATGTATTTTTTTCACTGTTTATATGGTGTTTCCCATTCATATGCCTGCAAATCTCTGACAAGAGGCCTTTATGAACTGTTCGAGTTTTGTGAGAGACAGATACTTGCGCGGAGCAGGAGGGCTGGTTGAGAGTGCCCTGAGCTAAAGGAAGGAGTCAATACAAACAATGCTTCCAGGAGTCCTCCCGAATCCTAACTTTCTCTAACACGTGGAAAACTTTTTGTCCTTCAAAGACAAGTGCTAAGGATCATGCATTTAAAAAGAAAAAGGCCTGGATACTTGGGCAAGAAAAAGATGGGAAACGGAATAAAGCAGTTTATCAACATCATGGGAAAATGGGGGAGGGGGAGGAAGGGCAGGAGGACCGTGAGGAAACAAACCCAAAACTTGGTGGTTGAAATCCAACAAAATAAAGTATCCACTACCATGTTTTTTCTTGTTTAATTTCATTGTCCTTTATTTAAAGTTCCTCCTTTTTTCTCCCTATTTCCGCCTTGGCCCGCCTCCCCCCCCCCCCCCCCCCCAGCCTGCAGGTTGTGCAGCCACTGTTGTTCAGGGCTTTGTGGCTTCTGGGTTTTTTATCCCACTTTCTCTGCCTCATCCTCGTCCTCCTCTTCTACCTTTCTCGCTATCCGTGCATTGCTGTTGCTCTGCATCCGTTGGGGTTGAGTTCATTACACCACTTAGGTAACTTTCCTTTCTACTGGATGCGCCAGGCATCAGGCTCTTGTGGAGGGTCACAGACATTTTCTCCCTTGATATTTTATATCTACTGTAGAGAGTTAGGCTCTTTTAAGAGACAGGATCCCCTGATCTGTTAGGAATTGTCTTCAGAAGTGTTCTGCTTTTGGTGTTTATTGGCCTAGGCAATCGACACAGGAATAAAGAAGCTTCTTGGGCTGGTGGACAGCAGGGCCCCTCCTGTGTGCCAGGTGCCCTGCAGTGGCCTCCCCGCCCAAGGGTTCGAATCTTCGTTGTGCCTCTGTCTCCCTCTGGCAGTCTGATGAAGACTGCAGACCCCTTGGAAGAATACTGTTTAAAAGTGCACAAAATAGAGGTGCCTGTTTGGCTCAGTCGGTAGAGCATGCAACACTCGACTCAAGGTTGTGAGTTCAAGCCCCACGCTGGGTGTGTAGCCTACTTTAAAAAAAAGTGCATAAAATAAAGGTACAATGTTTTATCAAATTGTGATATTCTATCAAAATATTTTTGAAAATTATACAGTTACCTTGACAGCCAGCTCCATCACTCCAAGATCTGTAGACAGGAAAACAGAGATCGCATGTGTTCCAGCAGTGGTCTAATGAGTGGGTCTACGAACAACTGTGCTTTTGAAACGGGATTCCCATTGAAATGATATTTTGAGAAACCTGCAACAATTTTAATGTGATACAAAAATAATATGTGATTTTGTATTGTTCCTCAAAGCATGATCACTACTGTGAATTGTTGCATGTGGTCCTAACAGAGGAAATAGTAAGTTTTCATTACAGGTTAGTAAAAACATTGACATTTTTTTCTCACCAGAGTTTAATAGCCCCCCTCCCAGATATCTATCCATGGGCCTCTTGGGAATTCTTGGGCACAAGATTAAGAACCCCTGAAATAGAAAATCCAAAGAAGAGGTATAATGATCAGTAATAAGCAACTTCCCCCCTAAAATCTATCCATCTATCCTCAAAGGCAACAGCAATAATAATGATTAATCATGATAGTAGTAATAGCAACCATTTGTTGGGGTTCCTTCGATGTATCAGTTACTATAGTCATTTATTTCACTGAAATCTCTCAGCAGCCCTAGGAAGTGGTGTTTGTCTCCACTGTATAGAGTTAAAGCTCAGAGAGGTTGAGTAATATGCCCTAGGCCCTATCTTTAACAAGTGGGAAAACAACGATATGAATCTAGGTCAGTTAACATGAAAACCCACACTTTTCTGGCTCCTCTCTTTGGCCCCCTGTACCTCTTCTGCTACCCCTGCCTGCTCAGGTGCTGGAGTCTTGTCTCCTCCAACACTGACTCAGCCTTTCCACCCACCTGAAGGAGCCTTGGTCAGGCCCCTGGGACCCTCGGTCGTCCCATCCCACGACTGAAATTTGAGTGACTCAAAGCTTCCCCTAGTTTGTAAATTCTTTAATTGTAGACATTGCCATCATCCAGAGGAAATAGCTGAAACAAATTACCTTCTATCCTAGCTTACTTATATTTATAGCCCACACTCTGGGTCTGTAATATTCCAAACCCTTCAATTTGACTGGAAATTCCCTCAGAGATTGTACTAAAACAGCTTATTATCACCTGGCAACATAAAAACAATAAGATTACTGTAGACTCTGAGTCACCTGAATAGCACACATGGCCTGAAGTTTAGCTAGTTCCCTCTGAGTATGCATTTGTCATAGTTACCAAATCTACAAATAACTAGCTAAATACAGGGAACCTCTCGAATTAAAATCTAAGGACATTAAGAAAAAAAAAAAAAGAAGAAGAAGAAGAAGAAGAAGAAGGTAGCGGGAGGGGAAGAATGAAGCGGGGGAAATCGGAGGGGTAGACGAACCATGAGAGACTATGGACTCTGAAAAACAAACTGAGGGTTCTACAGGGGAGGGGGCTGGGAGGATGGGTTGGCCTGGTGGTGGGTATTGAGGAGGGCACATTCTGCATGGAGCACTGGGTGTTGTGCACAAACAATGAATCATGGAACACTTCATCTAAAACTAATGATGTAATGTATGGGGATTAACATAAGAATAAAAAAAAAAAGAAAAAAAAATCTAAGGACATTGATAGAGTGTGACCTTCACTACAATTTGTTTCTGGTACATGTGTGAGATCTTTTTGACTTTGTTTCCTCTGGCGCTTATCCGCAGTGGGAACAGGTATGGGATTTGATGCAACTTTTCAGAAAAGCAACTATCTATAAGGTCTGTATATCCTTTTTAGCCCCCCGTGTGTGTGTGTGTGTGTGTTTAAAACTTTGCAAAGTGCTAAAGACAGCGGAGAACTTGCGTGCTCTGAGCACTGTGGAGGAAGGATTTGGTTATAAAGGTTCCTCCTTCCACAGGATTATTCCAGGATTTCTGTGCCAGGGTGGTGACTTCCCACACCATAATGGCACTGGGGACAAGTCCATCTACGGGGACAAAGTTGATGATGAGGATTTCATCCTGAAGCACACGGGTCCTGGCATCTTGTCCGTGACAAATGCTGGACCCAACACAAACAGTTCCCAGTTTCTCATCTGCACGGCCAAGACAGAGTGGTTGGCTGGTTGGCATGTGGTCTTTGGCAAGGTGAAAGAGGGCATGAATATTGTGGAAGTGTGGATGGGTTTGTGTCCAGGAATGGCATAACCAGCAAGAAGATCACCATGGCTGACTGTGGACAAATCTAATACATTTGACTTATGTGTTATCTTAACTACCAGACCATTCTTTCTGTAGCTCAGGAGAGCACCGCTTCACCCCCATCTGCTCGAAATAGCCTATAATCTTTGTGCTCTTGCTGCAGGTCTGTGGTTCCATATTTTCCTTATTCCCCTCCAAGAGCTGGATTGCAGAGTTAAGTTCGTGATTATAAAGTAAAAACTAAACAAACAAACAAACAAACAAAAAAAGGACATTCAGTTTCCAGGAGTAATTTTGGGAGTGGTGTTTATACCAAGAAAAATAACAAAAGCCTCAATGTCCAACAAGGAACTGGTTTGATAAAATGTCAGCACAATAAAATGTTATTTATATTTATAATACATATGCACTAAGGAATAATATTGGTCAGATTCTGGATGATTTTTGTCTGGATTCATTTTGCCTATCTCTACGTACTGAAGTTTCTACAGTAAACACATATTACTTTTGAGAAAAGAAAGCTTCATTCCTAAAATCATTCAGGGAGTGGTCCACAGTCTTTGAAGGAAAATCCCCAAGTGTAGGAGAAAACCATTGTGTCTGGGTGGACAGAGGCGTCATTCTGCAGTGAACACTGGAGAATAATTGTGCAGGCAATTAACCAAAGGCATGGGCAAGGTGAGGCAGGCAGTAACCATGGGCTAAAAATATGATAGGGAGGCCATAATTCTCACTCAGTGTTTGGGAAATATAAGTACATGGTGTCCACTTGGTCTAGCTACCAAATAAGATTTTTACAAATATCAACTACACATCTGTTTTTCCATTCTTAAAAGTGAAAGTGATGAAATGCTTTTACTTTAAGCATTGGCCTTTTATCAGGATTTTTGTAGGCACAGCTTGAATTTTCCTCATTTTAGTTTTCTGAGATGAGGGTTAACAATGGCTTTATAGGACATGGTCTGGCCTGGTTTGTGGAAATGATTCAATGCATCTTACGTAGAGAAATTGTCACCCACCCTAGGCTGGTACAACGGGTTCTTCCTCTCAACACAAAGTATTTTGTGTGTTTGTTCATCTTTGTCAATGTAGATGCTTTTAAAAATTATTGCAGCTGAAGAAGCCTATTCAACCTTTCTGAAGCTGGATTTTTTGTTAATTCCTGGAATTAATTAAATAATCAATTCTCTTCCTTTCATGAGCACACACACACACACACACACCATATATAACCACATTTTCCTACCCTACAGCACTTAAAAAAACAAACTGTGACTACAAGAGACAACATGGGTGAATCTTACAAATAAGGAGAACGAAAGCCATCAAGACTGCCCCCCCCCATTTTGATGACACAATTCTGTATGTACTCTCAACTAATGTAGCTCGGTCCTTAAAGACAGAGGGGTGGCAAGTCCCCTTATGCGACATTTCACACACTAGTTTTTATAGTAACAACACTATCGTTCCCCCAGAGGGGTTGTTTCAAGCTGTCTATAGCCACAAGTTGCATCCTGCAAGGGCAAGACTCTGTGTCAAACATTTCACTTGCTAATTCTCACCACACCCATCTCTATTCCGTGCGTATAAATATTATTAATTTATCCCCAGGGCTCAGGGCCAATTGCAATGGCCGCTGGCATCTCAGATGGACACCATACCTACGAGGTTTGAAAACAAACCAAGGTAGCCAGGTTGGGATCTCACGAAATGCCTAACTCCGTATGGTTTAAGGCAACCTCTTGGCTAAAGGAGAAGTTCTAAAACTATACTCAGCTCTCCTGGTAACCTCTGACATCGAGGTTAAATTTTTAACCTTTTTAAGCCTTTATTTAAATTATTTTTTTATGGGGTGCCTGGGTGGCTCAGTCAGTTCAGCATCAGCCTTCAGCTCAGGTCATGATCCCGGGGTCCTGGGATCAAGCCCCGCATCGGGCTCCCTGCTCGGTGGGGAGTCTGCTTCTCCCTCTCCCTCTGCCTCTGCCCCTTCCTCCCACCCCCATGCTCGTACTCATGTTCTCTGTCTCTCTCTCAAATAAATAAATAAAATCTTTCAAAAAAAAAATTACTTTTTTACATGTAGTAAAATGCACACAAAAGTGTATAGCTCAATGAATTTTACATATGTCTGTTCACATGTAACCACCATCTAGATCAAGATCTAGGACTTCCAGTGCTCAGACAACTCTCTCATATCCTCTCCCAGGCAGTATGTAAATCTCCCACCGCTACACACACCCCGAGTAACTACCATTGTGATTTCTATCACCATAGATTAGTTTTGTCTGTTCTTGAACTTTATATAAATTAATTAATAAAACGCGCTTTCTTTGTGTCTGGTTTTTCTCACTAAACATTATGTTGTTGAATGCTGGCTCCCGAAATATCACCAGAACAATCTGTTCAGAGGACAAAGCTGAATGTATTGCTTATTGCCATCAGGGAGAATACCACCTTGAATGAGCTTTCGCTGGAGGGGGAAGGAAAAAGTTAAATTTGAGATTTTGATTCTGGTTTAGGTGAGTCTTTCACTGTGAAGATTTGAATAGGATTGGTAGGAATTATATCATTTAGGACTGTGGGGAAAGTAAGGCAAGGATTTTGAGGTGAAAAAGTTTCAAAGACTCTTGAGGTGTAAACTGTTGATGTTCTCTATTGAAGAGATGATGGGTCTTTCAGGAAGTTCTATAATGAGCAATAAAGTGATTTGCCTGGGCAAGTGTATCCTGGAATAGTAAGTAAGCTGTGCTAATGAAGACTATGGGATAACAAAATCTGGATAAATGTAGACAGTAAGCTGTAGAGCAGTTTACAGTTTTAGTCCTCAGTGTCCAAGTGGAAGGTTGGAGGGTAGATGATTTCCATTTGCAGTGATTTTGATATTCTTCTATGTTGTCTTCTGCAGCAGTAGTTTGTTCTTGTCCTTTGCTGTATAGTGTTCCATTATTTGAAAATAATATAGCTTATTTACTCATTGATTCTATTAGCGGATACTTGGATTGTTTCCAGTTTTTATATCTTTAGAAATATGTTGCTATGATCATTCTTGTACATGTTTTTTGGTGCATATAAGAATACACTGGGGACTCCTGGCTGGCTCAGTAGGTAGAGCATGCAATCTTGATCTTGGGATAGTGAGTTCAAGCCCTACTTTGGGCCTGGAGCCTACTTAAAAAAAAAAAAAAAGCAACCTCCTGGTGTTGGTTTGCTTTTGCCTTGTTAAGGAATCAAACTGCCAGTGGAGATTCTTTTGTTGGGCTTTAGTTAGCATCACAAGGAGCCCAGAGATTCCCCCCTGGCCTACCACCCCCAAGGCTTGACTCATCTCTTTTCACCCAAGGGCCTGTCAATCACTCACTGGCTCAGTATTTCTGGACTGATCACTACGTGCCCTGCCCTGCACAAGGTGCTGAGGACACAGCTGTAAACAAGACTTTACAAGCTCCACAAGGCAAAGGCCTTGACTGTGTTGCTTACCACGGTATTCCCAGCTCCTAGAATAATGCCCAGCAAACAGCAGTACTCAGTGATTGGGGGTCAGCAAATTGGGTCTGCTGACTGTTTTTGTAAATAAAGTTTTATGGAAACACAGCCATGCTTGTTTGTTGACATACTGTCTATGGTTTCCTTCCTGCTACAATGGCAGAATGGGCAGTTGTGAAAGTAAATATCTGTTCCACAAGACCTAAAATGTTTACTATCTAGACCTTTACTGAAAGAGTTTGCTGAACTCTAGTCTAGCTGGCCATTTGCCTAGCTAAAAGTTGATACTTCCATTACAATAGAAGAGGAGAAGAATGGGTATTTTTGTTGTTTTTAAGCTTATCATAGAAATTAAAAAATTTTTTTAATAAACAGAGAGAGAGAAAAAATGAACCTGATTTACCTACCACCCAGCTAGAAGAATGGATACTAGGGGATATATTAGTTTCCTAGGGCTGCTGTAATAAAGTACCCCAAGCTAGGTAGCTCAGAGCAACAGAAATTTATTTCACAGTACTAGAGGTCGGAAGTCAAACATGGAGGTGTCAGCAGGGCCAGGCCCCCACGGAAGGTGCTAGGGAAGGATCTGTTTCAGGCCTCTCCTCTAGCTTCTGAAAGTCTCAGGCATTCCTCAGCTTGTAAAAGGACATCCTCTCCTTGTGTCTCTTCACATAGACTTCTCTCTGTGCATATCCATCTCTGTGTCCAAATTTCCCATTTTTAGAAGGACACTAGTTGAATTGCATTAGGGCCCACCCTAATAACCTCATTTTAACTTGATTACCTCTGTAAATACCATATTTCCAAGTAAGGTCACATTCTGAGATACTAGGTATTGGGACTTCAACATATCTTTTTTGAGGGGACACAGTTCAACCCATAACAGAGGAAGAGATAGCAGTCTCTGTCTGGGACTTCATCAGCATCTTCTGAACTAAATCGGTGGCCTATGAGACCTCTTTGAAAATGTCTGCGAAATAGTGCACACAAGACAAATCTTCCCGAAGAGTCACCATGTACCCATTAACATTCCATAAGCTCTGAGAAGTCTTGTTGTAAAACCTGTTCAGCTCAAAACTTCCCAAATTATTTAACTCTCAGAGCCTAGGGCTACAGCTTTGGAAAGAAAGTAAATAGCAGGTAAGAAGAAAAGCACAGATCTGGGAACATGATAAACTTGTGAAGTGACAATAGAGGATAGAGGTCAGAGGAGACTTTCTGTCTTTCTTTCTTTCTTTCTTTCTTTCTTTCTTTCTTTCTTTCTTTCTTTCTTCTTTCTTTCTTCCTTTCTTTTTTTTTTTAGGATTTTTATTTATTTATTTGTCAGAGACAGAGAGCACAAGCAGGGGGAGTGGCAGGCAGAGCGAGAAACAGGCTCCCCACTGAGCAACGAGCCCGATGCGGGACTCGATCCCAGGACCCCAAGATCATGACCTGAGCCGAAGGCAGATGCTTAACCGACTGAGCCACCCAGGCGTCCCCAGAGGAGATTTTTTTTTTTTTAATTTAAACAACAAGACCCTTGACTTGAAGGGAAAACTATCTAGGATTCATTTCTTTTAGAGTAATTTATCCCTACTTAAAAACAGATTGCCCTACATGTAACAGCTACATACAAAAAAGTTATAAAATTGTCCTTGGTTTTACAATGATAAATGAAAAACATTAAAATTCTCCAATCGAACAAGGTATGCAAGGATTTTTATGTTGTTCTTTTTTTGTTAAACAGTGAGAGCAAAATTACTTACTGGAATATAAAGATAAGAGCTGACTGAGCATGCCACTAATGGAGAGAGGGGGTATTTTCACAGAAGCAGTATTTTCCCCCATCCCATCTCCATTTGATGTCAATCAAAACATACCATTGGCCATTTAGGTAAAAAAAATGCAATATGCTTGTGCACATACACAGTTACTTTATGTACAATAAAGGAATGGGGGAAGGGGAAA